AAAAATCAATAAGAAACAGTCAAACAATCCTATGCAGTGTTTTGGTTGCCGACCTGTAATTCTCACCTGATGTCAGTAAAACATTTGTTATAACAAAACCACAGCTGTCTTTTATGATATCAGATCAGTGTCCACGATGTTTTATACTCAGGCACAATGTGACTTGTTACTGTATCTGGTCCTTTTTTAGTCCCACAGAAAGTCTAATCACCTTAAATGACTGAAACAACTCACAGTCAGAGTAAAAAGAAAGCTGTTTTCCCGTCTCTTCTTCATGCTCATCGTTTTTGTGATTACACCTTTTATTTTGTTCATCTCATCTCCAATCTGTTTCCTGTCCAGGTGTCAGAAGTGTATCGAAGCTGGTTGTGGATGGAACAAAAACAGCTGTTCCTGGGCTAACCAAGGAAAGACTGATGTACTAATGACTGATTTTCTGGATTTTCATACTTCATATCAGTCTGTGCTACATTATTTTAAAGTCATCACTTTTAACATTGAGCAAGAAACATGGGATTGATGGTAGAAAATGAAACAATTAAACATACACCAGAGATGCTAAAGAACGATTTTTTACTTGAAAAATGTTATTCACCAAGTGCTTATTGCTTCATCAGTACAATGATTTACATGTCTAGATTATATAAAAAATGGCAATACTTTTATTAGCAGTTTAGTTTTCTAGAGGTCCTAGGTCAGTCCTGATAGATTACAGTGCTGTGCAGATGTTAAGTGCTGTATCCCTCCTGCAGGACAGAGCTTGCAAAGATTTGGAGTCTGGAAAGAAATCTGTGAGTCTGATCCTCATTATCACCATCCAGTAGAGGTCATGATGTCAGCAGAAGGAAACTAAACGATCTGATTATTTGTGTGTGTTACTGCCAGGGGCCGGAGATCTCCTCCATCACTCCCAGTGTGGTGTCTTTCTATGGGAGTAAACATGCGGTGTTATCAGGTCAAAACCTTGGTTATGTGACACGAGTGAGGATCCAGACGCACGCTGAATGTGCTCCAAAAGAGTGAGTCACTGTACAGATAATTATGATGATGCTGAGAAATAACTGAATAAAGAGCAGATTTTAATCCAGGGGAACTCCACCCATATTACAATCCAGAGGTGTGGACTCGAGTTGTTAATTTTATGGGTTGAAAAAATGTTCTAAGACTTGTGACTTGACTTGGACTTGAACTTGTTTGCTTGAAAAGATTTGCTATATTACTTCAAATCGCAAAAAAAAATCACGGTTTTAGTAACGCAGAAACGCAGCGTTCCTACGGGAAAGTAATGTAATCTAAATACCGTTTTTGCAATAGTAATCCCTTACTTTACTCGTTACTTGAAAAAAGTAATCGGATTACAGTAACGCTTTACAAGTAATGCGTTACTGCCCATCTCTGGTCTGCACAGTAAGAAAAAACACAGCAGTTTACAGCATGCAGTGAAATTCACAATGAAGTCTCTCACACAAAACAATAAAATAACTTAAGCATTAAAAATTAAGGTGCAAACAACGAAATTAGTAAAAACCAAAAAAACCAAAACATTGTTATACAATGTTTCAAGGTTTTCTGCATGTCGTGATGATGTCACTGAGTCTGTCTGTCTTTGCTCAGGTCTCCTATTTGGGACAACGCTGGCGTCAGTCTGGCGTTCAACATTCCCAGCACAGATATCAAAGGTGTGGTCCGTGTGTGTGTTATCCTAGAAGATGGTAGTTGCCATGGTGACGCCAACATCACTTACCGCTCATTGCCATCCTGCGGCAACATTACTCCAAGCAGCAGCTGGATGAGGTAAAATTAGTTTTGCACAATTCGTCAGTGATAACTGCTGATCGTAGATCCACAACTTCCAGAAGCCGAGGTTACAGAAATAGTTTGAACTCAAACTTTGCTTAATGTCAGTTTCTTTGCAATTATGATTAAATATGGAGAAGATAAGAAATTATCTTCTGAAGAAGTGCAATAACAAACCTGATTAATCAAAATCAAAATCATCTGCAGATCATTTTATTGGAGATTATATATCGGAATTTCAGGAGCAGGACCACGCCTCCAAACACGCTCGTCTATAGATGACAACCTTCTGGTTCCCTCAGTTCTGCAAACTGTTCATTCTCGTTTACATGCACCACCCTCCCTCCGTCCTTGTTCTCCATTCTTTAACTTCTTCACTTCTATTTAGTACATGGGGATCTGCCTGGGAGCCATCGCCGGTCCCCTTCGAGGCCTTCCCCAAACCACAGCTCAAGTCATGTCAAAGCATCACTTTTACCTTCTACAACGCTGTCAAACCTAAAATGAGGACGTGGGTCCAGCTAGTGAAGTGGGGAGTGTTCCTGAGGCAGATAGTCAAGGTGGTGTTAATCATCCGAATCTAAAACTACATTAGTTTTATTTATTTATTACAAATATAACAGGTTAGCAGGAAAGAAAATAGACAGATGGTTATTTTCTGGTCCATCAAACAATAAGCTTCTCGTTATTCTTCAGTGAGATCCGTTAGATCCAAGGATAATAATGGATTGCATTTATATAGCGCTTTTCAAGGCACCCAAAGCGCTTTACAAT